ACTGAGTTTCTTTTATCTTATTAAATCTCTGATTGCACTTGATAATGAGATTGGAAGATTTTCTTTTGATCTTCTCTTCAAAATACAGTGAAACCTATAAAGTGTGCCTTCAGTTAAGCGGACATCCTCTATCAAGCGGACACTAGGCAGGGTTCAGTAATTAACGTCTTATATTTCCCTTATAATGAACTCCAAATCAGCGAGCACTTCTATTAAGCGGACGCGCACACTAAAATCAGTTGTATTTAGCTGATTTCTATTGTTAAAAACCTTTGTTAAGCGGACACCGGACTGAATTGACAAGTGTATGGGATCGCGTCCTTGAAATAGTCGATTACATGTATTTAATCCAAAAGAGTCAATCGTTGCTGTTATCTTTTTGCATTATTACCAACAAAGTAGGTAATGAAAGATATTGGACTTGATCACAGGATAGCTTCGTTAACAGCATGGAACTTATAACAGACAAGTATAGAGTAACCGTCGAATGCTAATCGTTAACAAACATTGCATAATTTTTACAAACCTCTATTTAAGCGGACACTTGTATAGATCTCGAGGGTGTCCGCGTAATAGAGGTTTCACTGTATCGTCATAATTTATATCCATTACTCCGACAAAAGATGAAACAACTCCCATGCTAACAGGGATATCGTTTGCTCAAGGTGAAAGAATCAACGATCTGATATTGCTAATTTTTTTGGTCCTGGGGTGGGGATTGTCCTTCAAGCAGTTAAATGCTGAAAATATGCCAACTTCCTCCCTCCCTCCCCCCCCCCACCTTGGATTTGACCGAACTAAGCACACAAGAGTACTTTTAAGGGGTGCATCAGTATCTAGCTATCTGAAAGGATGGTAGTGCAAGCCCTATAACCCTCTGGTGTTGGTAAATCAATTTGGTTGGGCTCCATGTAAGTAAATGTCTGTACAAAAGCCAGCCATGTTTTTACTGAGCAGTTAAAAGAAAAACAAATTCCAAAAAATTTTTGTTTACTAAGAGTAGCCTCATGTAAGCAGTGTCTGATATATTCTAGGAACATTTCCATATCCCAGGTATTTGTAAAATTTTTTCTTTACTATGAAAGGCCACAATTTGAGAACACATGAAAAAGATTGGGAAGATAACTTTGTTGTTTGCCAAATGAAGCCTACTATTAGTAAGTAATTTTTTTCATACTTTGACCTCTGACTTTCCCTTGAAATCCTGTACAATTTCACTTTGTATTACTTCAATAATTAGGCAATTTTATGATCTGTCCAATTTTTGGAGAATCTGGGAAACTTTATGATTTCTTCAAGATGTCTGAACTCTCAACATGGCTCAGAATTACCTCCACCTGCTTGGTGAACCTCAAAAGGGAGTTTTTTCAATTGATGAAACTTTCTTTGCTTGCCAGTTTTATGGGGAAAGAACCCTTTAACAGGTTAAGTCAGTAGGTATCTGGACTGGACTGGTGGAAAAGGGTAAGTGTCCTGAGGAAGGAAAAATAATTGAGAGCTATTTACTTGGAGAGCAAGCTGGAATGCAGTTTCTTTGTTTTTCTTACTCTGACTGTTACAAAAAATTTATTACAGCATATGAAAATGTTTAATTTAAATTTAGATGTTCCCTTTACCAATAGACTTGAAAAAATGTTTGCTATTGCATTGACAGAGATGAATGATGGTGAAATTGACAACAATAGAATCCACTTGTTGTAGGCCTCCTTTGTAGATGTGCACGCTTACTGTGGTGTCTCAACAATAAAAAACATACTTGGCCTGTTGAACATTTTTCCCTATTGCACCCCTTGGAGAGTCACCACAATCTTTCTTGACCCTGCATGATTCCGATGTTCACAAAGCCAAATTCCCTGCCATGTTCCAAGATTCAATTTTCCATTTGTTATTGGAAGTGTTACACTTGGTCCTACAAGAGCTGTTTTGACATGTCCTGTTGATAAAAGAAATATCATGCTAAGTCAGAGATGACAAAGGGAAATTTTTCTGGACTTCCAACTGTCTCAGAGTATCTAAATTTTTAAGATGCATCAAGGAAATTCTTTTTTATCATGCCTGGAAAATCTATTAACTGTGAAAACTTGTGCATGGATTTGGTTGAAGCTGATCAATGATTTTACACAGAATGCAGCAATTATGATGGCCAGCTCCATTTTTCCCAGTTCTGACCAATTCTTCCCCTTTCTGTTGAACAATTTTCACACATGCGTTGACCACAGGAGTGAAGTCTGGAAAGGTGGGTGCAGCACAGCAATCATCATTTATCATGGAAAATCCTCAATAGATCTTTCCTTAACCTCTGGATTTTCAACTTTTTGGGGGATCAACTTTTCAAGTCAATCTAACTTTGGCTCTAAATTACAACTTTTCCCCATCCACTATGAGAGCAGTAGATGAGGATCGAGCTCCAATACAAACACAAACAAACAAATAAACAAACAAATGAAAAAACAATAACAGTCGGACTTAAGGTATCAGTAGCATAGTTTTTAGAAAAATCACACTACCTCCTTTTTCATTCTTTTTCTACTGGATCAATAAAGTATTCCTGCTGACTAAAAACCTGTTTGTTTACATTCAAATGGTGTATATAAAAATGCATATAATAAACATGCTGTAAAACTTTTATGTAGTGCAATTTTGCCCTTAATCAGAGTGTTTTTGGATTGCAAATCAAGCATGTTTTCCCAGTTCAAATTCCACTTCAATCAGTTCCACTACTGAGTGTGTTCACAGAGATAATAGGAAAGAAGAAAAAAATGTTGTAAGCTAAATAATTAGTATTAGAATGATGACTTTTGTCCAGGTAAATATTATGCAAATCTCAGTTATCAGGAACATTGAGAACTGCTGTTTATTAGCATGGTGTGTATGTCTTACGTTGTACTTGTGACATGGAACTAAAAAAAATAAAAAAAATTATCAGAGAAATATAAGATTTGCTCTGTGTACACTCACAAGAGAAATAATTTATCTCTGATGCCAACTGATAGCCAGGGATGAAGTTCACAACTACTTTTGTTTGATTATTGATTGATTATCAATTTCTCGATACCAAATTCAATACCAATCAACCATAATCAATTGCCACTGATGAATTCATTCATTTTCGAATTTTTGATTATTCACACCTTGTTGACAGCAATAATTACAGAAAATTGCCGAAAAGGAAACAACTTAAAGTTGCTTTAATGTGACAAGCATTAGATACTTCAATAATGTACTCATTACACTAGTTGACTGAATAAACATTGCTCAACTGGGAAAATTGCAATTCATGCCCATCAACAAGGTAGATTTCTTACTCTATCCTCGGTGTAACTATTTAGCCATCAACCCAATCCCCCCCAGTCCCACTCGTTCTTTCCAAGAGTGTGCCTTGTGTCAAGAAACTATGGTGCTGCGTCGCTGGGAGAATATAACAGGTAATTTAGTGTTAAAAACTGAGTTGAAAACGTAAATTGGCCAGGCTAGCCTTTTGACTCTTTATGGTGGCCGGTTTACGTTTTCGACTCAGTAATGTTAACACTAACTTACCTGCTTAGCTTTCTGTAGTTGTTAAGAAAGGAATGTTGGTCAAGTTGCAGAATTCTAACCTGGCATATCATCCGGTCCCTCAATAGTGTGTTTATATGGTGGACCACTTTCTGGAACTAGACGATTAAGCATCATCTCCATATCCTTACGGACAGAGGAATCCCAACATTCATTCACGCATATGCTTGCAGATGTATGTTGCAACAATAAATGAGCCAGTCCGATCTTGTACTTCTTTAGTTCCGGTATACTTTCTATTTCGTCCGTTATGATATGAACTCCGCGAGATTTAGGCTTTATATTAACTAATGTTTGGAACCAAGCAGTTGGTCCGCTGGCGGCCATGTTTTTCCGTGTAGAGACAGAAAATGCGCGGTTACATAGCACGATCTCGCCAAAGAAACTGATCCGCGAAATTGCAACAAATTTATCACGAACAGACAACAGGAAAACTGGCAATCTACTCATTTTGATTTTTTGTATCATAAATATACATATTTTGGTAAAATTTTCCCAGAGCACGGATACTTTCCTTCATCAAGACCAGCTCCAAGATCAAGATCTGTTTCTGTTTACGGAAACCGCTGGACGGAAAACACTCTTGGCGGTAAATTCATTATTCCACGCGCGAATGATCGTAGGCATTCCGAGCGAATGGTTTTGAGCTATTTCCGTCTTCGGGGATCGATTTTACATCTCTGCCGCCGTGTTTCAACCGGTGAAGTGGTAATGGAAGCTGGAAAAAGAGCTGCAGCGAGATATGCTGTGGACACATATGTAAAGGTAAAGAGAGCTCAAAGTTTGAGGCAAATTTGCATGTCATGTGATAAACAAGTAGTTACACACAACCATCTTTTTAGCTCTCAGTTATCGAGTGTATATTTTTAGAGACGACGCATAGGTTTATCCCAAATACACTCCCCTGAAGGATGTTTTCGCCTTCTGTAAAATACTATTATTAAAGCATTGTAGTCGTGCAGATGGGGAGGTTCAAAAGAGGTGCACTAGTAATGAAGCCCACGTAAACTTTGTTTATCATTCATGTTATTCGCTGGAAGGAAAGAGTTTCATGGCTTTAAGTGCTTCGTAAGTGAGAAAAACCGTAAAAGCGCTAGAATCTAAAGCAGTCTTCCCACACCTCGTCAAATGAGAACACTTCCAAGTTAACCACAAGTTAGTCAAGAGTATCACTTTACAAGGTGTGGATCATCTGATTTCTTGATTTAGTGCTAGATTACATAGGGAACATGGGGCGGGGTTGCAAGAAAGGTGGGGTTGCGGAGATAGGACATGAGCGTCACTTGTTAGTGACGTGGCTCTCTCATCTGTGGTAGCCTTGACTTCCATTTTCAGCCCTTTGGCCACTCAAATTGCTGCATTTGTGAAAATTATTCTACTGAGTCAAGATTGAACACTGTCACCCTTATGCTGTCATTCATAACGTGTCGAGGTAATAATAATTAGGGTATGACACTAGTCCACAATCTAAATGAAATAACTTTGTTTTCAATAAGGTTTTATTTGTGGAAAATGAAATATTTTACAGGGTAATCAAGCACTAGGAATAGGCTCTGGATCAACAATAGTATATGCAGTCGAACGTATTGGTAAGTTAGAAAATCATCTGCAATGATGATTATATGATTTTTGGGTGAATTTTTAGGTTTTTTTGTGTGTCCAATTGATTACACTGTTACATGAGAGTAAAATGTTTTGAATTGATGATTCTGCTTGTATTTGACCTACATGTGGAAGTGCTTTTAATAAAAAAATGCAAGAGAACTCTAATTGTAAAATTGACCTACATGATAAGTTACACAAAAATGTTGCACTACTGCATTACTGCATCTTAGGAAACCACCAGCTGTGAGTAAATAAGCCACTTTGCAGACGTGTGTAGTATTAGGCCTTTGCTTGTAGTTCCAGTCAAATACTGTACAAGGTAATTTGGAAAGAGAATATTTAATCTGTTACAAAATAGTTAATTCTTTTTCTCCCTTGAGTGTGTAAGGCAAAATTTCTCCTTCCATCATTGATGCATTATCAAGCAGACAAGACTGATGAGAACAAAGTATTATATCAACAAGGGTATTATTAATTGATCCAATAACAAATTCTCTGCACTAACATCATAACAATTGTATAGCAGACAGTAAGGAGAATTATGTGCACAAATGAGATCTTTGCAGTGAAAGAGTTAACCTATTACCATTGAGATCGCAATATTTTGGGAGAGCTACCAATTTGATTCCTAAAAGTCTTCTGTTTTCATAATTTTTTTTTTATTTTCAGCTGAAAGAGTGAAAGATGAAAAGCTGCATTTACTTTGTGTTCCATCATCATTCCAAGTAGGTGAATGCTTAATTTAATTCATAAGTAGCCAATTGTACAAAATTGTGTTTTCTTCTTTGTGGAGTATGAAATATTTTATACCTATTGTAGAATTATTTTGTGGTGGCCTCAATGGATTTTTAGAATGACTACCATCTAATTTCTCCTCACCATATCTCTCCTGAATCAAACATTACAGTACAAGAATAAAGGAAATGATCACCAAATAAAGAAGCTCTTGATTTTTAAACAAATTCCCTCAGTCAACACCTTTGGAAATGTAGGGAGAACAGTATGGAGAATATACATTTTGATGTTAGGGTGTAAAGGGTGATACAGTATTTTGATCAGAGATGGAGACTCCTGGCCATCTGATGGGCTTTTCTAGAGGACTGATGTATTATGGAGTTATTCTTTTGTTATGATTTTTTTATGAGTGGGTTGTTAGTTCCATAAAATATCTCTTACCATCTTGTCCTCAATTACTCCTGGTCAACAATGCTTAAAGAACCTCTGAATATATTGTAGATGATCTGTGTCATATATCCAACTTAAATCATGTAACCATAACATTTTGAGGTAGATTAATAAGGATTGTGACTGATATTAAGTTTATGTTTCTGAATTGTGTCCATGTAATGACTTTAAATTTATTTATTTTAAATTTGATGGCTGTAGGCCCAGCAGCTGATCACACAACACAACCTGACGCTTAGTGATCTTGACAGAACACCTGAGGTAACTGGAAGAAAGAATTTGTTTAGAAATGTTCTAAAGTAACGTATATTATTCTGTACCTTACTAAAAGCTCTTTAAGCTTATGGTTTGTCACATTTTACATGTATTTACCAACAAATAAAATAATTCTTAACCATTAAATATCAGAAAAAAAATAATAAGAGAGTGTAAATAACAGTGAAAGATGACGTTGTTCAGTGAGTGACACATACATACTCAGAAAAAAAGAAAAAGTTCTATTGCTCCCAATGACCTTGGGATTGGAACTTCAGACATCTCCACCACTGAGCTACAGGAGACTTGTGGCAGCAATGCCAGTTAGCTAGGTCCATGGGGATAAACTTCCTGCATACTACTAGGATAGGAATGGGGATATGGGATGCCTTTTTGTAACAGTGA